AAGGAAGAGAAGGAAGAAGCTCCTCCTCGACCACCGCCGGAACCTCGCCAGACCACCGCAGGAGCCTCGCCAGACCACCGCAGGAGCCTCGCCGGACCACCGCAGGAGCCTCGCCAGACCACCGCAGGAGCCTCGCCAGACCACCGCCGGAGCCTCTCCGGACCACCGCCGGAGCTTCGCGACCACCACCTGAGGCCTTCACCCTCGCCGAACCACCGCCGAAACTTCGCCGGGCCACCGTCGGAGCCTCGTCGGACCATCGCTGGAGCCTCGCCGGAGCTTCGCGACAACCACCTGAGGCCTTCACCCTCGCCGGACCACCGCCGAAACTTCGCCGAACCACCGTCGGAGCCTCGCCGGACCATCACCGGAGCCTCACCGGACCACCGCCGGAGTCGCCACACCACCACCTGAGGCCCTGACCTTCGCCTGAGGCTCTCACCTTCGCTAGAGGCCTTCACCTTCACCTGAGGCCCTCACCTTCGCCTGAGGCCCTCACCTTCGCCTGAGGCCCTCACCTTCGTCAGAGGTCCTCACCTTCGCCAGAGGCCCTTGCCTTCGCCAGATCATTATCAAAGGCCGTGTGCTCCATCAGGACACCACTTGAGGCCCGGACTTCTGCTAGGCCACTACTTGACGCCCAGAGTTCTACCAGAGTACTGCCCTATTACAACGGTCTTTCTGACCTCAATCTCCTGCCGACTACGGTCCTTTAGGCCTTCGTCGCCTACTACGGTCCGTCCGACCTCCATCACCAACCAAACGTCTTTCAGACCCCAGTCTTCTACTGACTACGGTCCTTCAGGCCTTCGTCGCCTATTACGGTCCGTCCAACCTCCATCACCAGACAACGGTCTTTCAGACCCCAGTCTCCTACCGACTACGGTCCTTTCGACCTCCATCACCTACTATGGTCCTCCCGACCTCCATCAACAGACAACGATCTTTCTGACCCTAATCTCCTACCGACTACGGTCCTTCCGACCAAACAAACATGTATATGTAACTCCCATCATGTAATGCAATCTATATATGTACATTTGTTACATCAATCGAAGGCCTTCTCCCAAGGAAGGGCATCATTTGTAATCGACTACAAATACTAGTGAATTCATTCAAACTGGGCCAGGCCCCATGGTTTTTCCCCCTTTTCAGTGGTTTTCCATGTAAAAATTCTGATGTCTCTTATGAATGCTACACCCTCTCACTTATCTGATTGTGTGCTGGATCTTCGTACAATGCTAAGACATTAAACTATATATTTCTCTACCGCCATGAATATTCCAGGACGCAACAATATGTTTACACCATAATATGTTAAAAAATAGGGGGATATTGCACCTCTAGGAATACCTATTAGGGGAATGGGGTCCACCTTTTTATCAACTTGGGAGATGAAAGGACTGCTAGGGATTGAGGGGTCATTCATGATAGTCTGCTAGTTTATTACAAGAGGATGAAGGTTGGAGAAAACAAGGGTCGAGTAGAACACTATAGAGTCACAACTGGAAAAATTAAGTATATATTTCTTTGAACGCAGACGTAGCCAGCTTTTTTTCTATTGTAATGGGTGCCAAATCATGATGTGGAATTATCATTAGGATGTGCTCGAAACTAAATACAAAAGTAAGAGGACACGCAATACATAAGACTCTAAGATTTATTTAATTTGACTTCAATGAAGTCCAAGACTATTGAAGAGGAGAGAAAAGATATGATCTATTGTCAAACAAATCACTCTCCGGCTTTTTCTCGGTTCACAAGTACGCCCATGCTTAAAGACAATGGAGAAGAAGAAAACCCATAATCTCATATGAAGATATTACTTCAATAAAAAACCCTTGTTTTCTCGCATTCACGATAGGGGAGAAATATTTTAGACGTTCAAATTTTACTCAATGACTAGAGATTTCATTGCAATTAATACTCAAGTACTGGTAATTTACATTTTTCTGTCTTAGGCCAGTTCAAGGCGAATCTCTGTTCTTCTTTGATTGCCCGCCCGAAATTTTTATTTGCATTTTGTCTGTAATGCAGTACGTTCTTTTGAAAAGACTGCCCTAGATTTAATTTTTATTGTACTTCAGTTGTTTTTTTTTAATTGTTGTTTATCTTGTTTTTTGTTAAATAGGAGCAAATCATTGACATTGGATTATGACCTTTTTGCTTCCTTGCCAAATTAAATATATACTAACAACAACTTCCTTACAGATTCTTGGGGTTGAGAAGACAGCATCCCAACATGAAATAAAGAAAGCATACTACAAGTTAGCTTTGTGTCTTCATCCCGATAAAAATCCTGGTGATGAGGTTGGGCTAGAATTCTTTACATTCATCCTTTTTTAAATGTAGCATTTCCTAAGAAATGTTCCAATTGAATCTTGAACTTTTCTTTTTCCAGGAAGCCAAAGAAAAGTTTCAGCTCTTGCAGAAGGTTATGTCAGTCCTTGGAGATGAGGAGAAAAGGGCATTTTATGATCATACTGATTCTGTTGATGATGATGTATAAGAGTGTCCCTTTTTTTTCTTAAGAAATTGTTGAATATTTGTCAGCCTGTGAGCCTTGTTTCCACATTCATATTTGCAGGCCATTTGTGGAGAAGGTGCCAATAATTTGCAGGATTTTTTCAGGAGAATGTACAGAGAGGTACTTTGCTTACTTGGTTTGGTGAAGTATGTGGTAACAATATTCTTTTTCGCCAATAAAATTACTTGGTTTTTTGTAGGTAACAGAAGCTGATATTGAAGAATTTGAAGCCAGTTACAGAGGATCTGATTCCGAGAAGATGGATCTGAAGGAGCTTTATTCAAAATTTAAGGGAAATATGAACAGGTATTTTTAACTAAGTATTACCTATGATAGGTAATTGTTCCCTTTAGTCTGTTTCCAGTTGTGTTCATCGAACTTGATTTTGTGAAAAACTTGTGTTGCTCATTTTTGTCTCATTCATTGACCAAATGTCAAACGTTAACATATTCCTCAATGAATAGAATACAGATAAGAAACCGATCGTGAACAAAACTTCCTTTTTTGTGCTTCTCTTTCTAAAATTTTGTTAAGATACATTTCATTAAATATTAAATATGTACATATGTTATTGTGAATAATTTTAAGCCATGGTTGAGTAGTCGAATATGTTGTTAGGTAATGCTGTCCTTGTATGGTGATTTTATTTGTTTTTATTCAAAATAATGAAAATCCCTTGTTTGATTGATATTTTTGTCTGTGTTAGCAAAAAAATCAAATAATAGCTAACCAAATACAGACAGAAAAACATCAAATATTTACATACGTGAACCGAAATAGAAGCATCAGAAAAATTAAAGAACTGAACTCGAACAATACGTTCCATCATTTTTTGCGATTCATTTAGGCCCTTTGAATTTTCTTTTGGCATTCAATAGATCATAGGTATCTTGTAACTAAATTGCATTCAGCCAAATCTATGTTCACTTTTCTGTTTAGGTTCTAACTTGAATCTGGCGTCATTTCCTTTCAGGCTTTTCTGTTCAATGCTTTGTTCAGATCCAAAGCTTGACTCTCACCGGTTCAAGCATATAATTGACGAGGCAATATCTGAAGGTTCTTCTTTTCTGATCACATGGTGCAGCTTATCATTATGTATTATTGTCATCTTGCATTAAAGGAACAGTTAATTCCTGAATTTTTACTAAACAATAACTGTTAACATGATAGATTTTTTCATCATGTTCCAGCATAGATATTCTATCGAGTTCTCTTTTTAAATAAAAGCAAAGTTTTAGATTGTATGTAATAGTTCAGTTCATGGCAACTGCTGCTATCTTTCTCTTCTTCCAAACTGAGAAAAATTCGCACAATGGCACATCCTGATTCTGATGAATCTAGCATCAAAACTTGCTTGGCGCATTGTGTAATTTGTATAATTACTCTTCGATTGTAGGAGAATTGAATCCAACTAAAGCATACCAGAAATGGGCAAAGAAGATATCTGAATCTAAACCTCCTACGGATGCACTTGTGAAAAAGGGAAAGTAAGTTCTCTTGGCCTGAATTATATTTGAAAACTCTCATTATTTTTTTCCTGGAAAACCTATGATATCATCATAATTCTGCTAGATCAAAGAGGCAGTCAAATCTGGATTTAGTTGCTGTCATTACTCAGCGTCGGAGCAAAAGGAAAGAACACTTCAACTCCTTCCTGTCATCCATTGTGGCTAACTATGGTGGACAGGTAGCACCAGAACCAACAGAAGAAGAGTTTGAGAGAGCAAGGCAACGGATTGAAAGTCGGAAAGGGAACAAAAGGAGGAAATAAAAGCAGAAATTTGTGATTGCTTGCTTCTTCTGCACTGGTGTTTTCTTGGCCTTACAATGGTAGTTTTACAAATTATATATATAAATTTTAGTTCTATTATTATTGGAATACAGTTCATTACAATGTATTACCATCCAACGTTTTCTTTTGCCCGACGATGAAGTGCTGAATTTCTTGAAGATCTTCTAAGAAGTTTATAGGTTATCAGGTTGGTTACACTGTCCAACTTTGAAAAGATAATGCTTCTATGCCTCGATGTGTTCATTTGGAACATACATTAACTTCATAAAGGATAAAAATAAAACTGATTGATTTTTGAAAAATATTAGGAAAAGTTGTTCTTACTTTTGTAGCTCATAAATGCATTGAAAAGTAATATGTTAGTTCCATTGGTTGGATCAAAATTAAATTCCATCAGTTTTTTCAAATACATATAATGGCAAAAATACTCATCCAACTTATAAAAGTTTTCAAAAGAATTTCGTTACATTTGCAATCTTCTGACCACCATTATAATTTTTTAGCTCATCGATGAACTTGAGGCAAAACGTCATAAAACGACGCGAAAGAAGGAAGCAGGGTAGTTTGGGGGCAGTTCATGTAGCTTCCCTGCAAATTCATGGATGAAATGGAAAATTATATATAAATAAGATGGAATATAAATTTTGGCTCTGGATTTAGTGTTCATGCATTTTGATCATTTCTCTGATCTCTTTACTAAAAGTAATTTTTTTCAAGGCATTTGTGATTGTCAATAGTTAAAAAATATTCTTTTTATATGAATTGTCTTAAATGTAAAAATCATATAATGAATCAAAAGTCTATGTACGAATACTTAAAATTTGAATGAAGTTTGGATGTTTCAGAAGTGTTTTTCAAGTCTATATATATAAGAAAATTTTGACTTGTCTTATAGTACTCATACTTGCTCATTTATACCTTGTATGTATTTATTTGAAGAAATATAACCAAACTTTCATTTTGAACCAAATAACCTGCATATGCTTATGACCCCCCACAAATGTTTTTCTTGCTCGAAAAACTTGGCAATGTCATTCCCATCTCATCCATACACTAATAGTCATGCTCCATTGTTAATTTTATCTTCCCTTCGTTTGAGATTTCTTTCTTATGACAGGAGATTAGAATGTGTTGAAATAGATTAATCTCAACCTCCATTGCCATATTTAAGTTTTTTTTTTTTTTTTTAAGTTCGAATAATATAATATTATATGCATATGATATAAGTAATTGTCTAAGATAATATTCATATGCTTTATGGTGGATTTGAGCAACTGAATATAGTTTATTTTGATGGAGAGTTTATACATACTAGATAAAAGATCAAATAGCCATGTTTGAAAAAGATTCAATCAGTATGCAAATCCTATTCATATATGCTTTGAAGGTCGTTCAAATCATATTTGAATATTTTTGAAATTGATAATATTCTTGCTTGTGCTTATTTTTAGAACAAATTATTATGAATGTGAATGAAGTATCAATATTTTTGTACTATATAGAGGAGAATGGAAATAAGATAGCCTAGTTAATGAGATATTTACTTGAAAATGGAGAAAATAATTGATGGTTCCTTCTTTGACTATTTTATGGATTATATATATGCAATTACAAAGATAGATAATAACCAATTTAGTTTGATGTTAGAGGTGATGTATCAATTTATTGGCACATAATCCATGATATTAATTCCTTCACTATATGACAATGTTTTTTCTTAAATGAGACATTTATTTAACATTGATCCTATTTGTGTGTCTATTTTCCACAAAATAAAAGCCATACCTATTGCCACGTCCAACACATCTTTAGCCTCTTGGTGAGTTATATACTATAAGGCAACACTAACAACACTAGATTCTCTTAGCAATTCTCTAAATTGCCTCACACTAAATCTACCACCACTCTTGATCCATGATCCTTCACTAGCAACTCTTAAATTGGTTGCTATTCACTTTCTTTGTCTTCCTCCTACTTCAGGCCTACCTTGTAGTGCCCTCTATAGACATTGAGCTATCTTGTGACATTGCTGGCCAAACTGAAAGCACTGCCCCATATACAAATATCACCTATTAGGATGTCTTTTTGCATACAATATTACTATTTTGCTCACTTGAACCAACTTAAAAAATGATTCTTGAATGCACAACTTAGTAGATGGTGGCAAGAACTAGTTCCTGAATGTCTTAATAAAATCTTCCCACAAAATTATGGCATTTGTTCTATTCTAAAACTTCTCCCTTTGTTGCCTAACCATCATCAGCGCTGGGGTTCTCCATATAAAAAGAATATAGCTAATGGATCCTTTTTTTAGGGCATTAGATGGTATCAAAGAAATTCTCCTACCTCATCAACTAGTCCATAGCTACCTGAGGTGTAACACCTCTATATTCGTTTTGACCTGATCTGAATAAGCAAGTTGTTATATTTTTGCATTTGAAACCTTCTGCATGGGTTTGGGAATGTTTTAGGTACATATGAGAGTCTGCATGTCTTATGAAGTGGTTTCCAGTGGTTTATTTGCATGTTTGAAAAATATGAAGTTTTTCTCATGGAGCATCGTGATGTTGGGTTTGACGGTGTGCGACACCAAGGCTTTCAAATTTTTGGTAAATTAATTTAGTGTGATGACGCTGGAGGTTGTTCTCCGACATTGTTGGTTTTCTAACGGACCGCCATGGTATCTTTTTCCACTATTCATTCATTTGATCCATTGGAGAAACGATGTTAGAGAGAGAAGAGAGAATTCCTAGATAGAGAAAATTCACTTTGAGTTGCTTCGGGTCATTTTCTCCTTCAGGCCTAATTTTGAAAGTTGCCCGATTCGAGGTAGGTGACATTTAACCTATCTTAGTTAAAAAAAAAAAAGAAGATATTTTTAAAATTTTTGATAAAATTTATATTTTTGTAATCTAAAAATGAAGATAACTTTATATTACTAAAACTTTCAATATATACTTTTTTGTATGTTGTAGAGACATCAATTTGGAATATTTAGTGATTTTTTTTTATAAAAACTTATACTAAATTTTTTTAGAATTGTGCTATTTTAGTGACCTAAAAAATAATCCCCAATTTCAAAAATAGTGTTGTAGAACAATTAAAGTCTTAAAATACTCTTTTACATAATATCTCATAATTTGTTTAAATTCTAAAAAAGTATATTTCTATTTTGTAGGATTTCTAATGCCTACCGTTATAACATAACTCTCCAATGACATGCTCTCTCATAAAATTACGTTGATATCAAAGATCGATCCTCTAAAATTCTTGATGGAAATACTAGCGTTGACAGGGCGTCTAGCCTGGTGGGAAGTAATATTATTGTAGTTTAATATCACATACATGTCGTAAAAGGCACTAGAAGTACAAGCCTTAGCATTTTTTCTCGTCGCACATTCTATCCCGACAGATTCCCCACTCAATGATAATTTGTCTGACGAGCAAATCATGCAGGTCGAGGTGAAAAAAAATCACCATTTTGGGAGATGTAATTTGATTGGGCGTCATCGATTAAACTTGTCCAACCTCTAAATCTTACAAGAACCCGAGCCGGCATCGGTCTCATTTTCATATCCCGTGAGGGAGGCATAATGAGATTTTTATTTAGTTTAATTTAGTCTCAAACCAATAATGAAGCTGAGTATGAAGCTCTAATAGCGAGACTGGAGATTACGATCAATGTTAGAATCATAAATCTCCAAATCTTCAGCGATTCCCAACTTGTGATAAATCAAGTTCTAGTCATTTATAAGATTTGCAAACTTAAATTGACCCACTACCACCGGTGAACTCAGCTTTTGAAATAAGTGCTAAATGTTAAAATAGCCCAAGTTCCTCAAGGTTAGAATAATATAGCAGGCTATCTGGCTAAATTAGCTAAGGATGTGGCGAATACGCACAAAGAAGAACCCATATTAATTGGAGTTTACAACTGTGAGACCTCGTTCCCTTACTGTTCCTCTCCTGATTTGGATTTTTTCCTCTCAGGATCGTCTAGGACGATTGGAAATCGTCCAGGCCGATCGGCACTGTAGAAAATATCGACCTGAGAATAGTTCTGGGAATTGTCCAGGACGATTTTTCTGGTCTGATCGTCCCGGGACGATTTGGCGATCGGCCGGGCCGATCAGACAACTGATTTAAAGAAATCAGCTCGTTTGCTGAGTGGACATCAAATCATTCTCCACTAATCTCGCTCTTTCCATAAGCTTAGATAAATCTTAATAAGAAAAGATACTAGTGGATGCCTCAAACTATCCCTCAAGGCTTTTAAAAAAAATAACACTTATTTAGAGTATTGATTAGTTAGGGAGCACAACTTGCTGGAGCAGTTAATTTTGCTTCATACTATATTACTATTTTGCTCACTTGAACCAACTTAAAAAATGATTCTTGAATGTACAATTTAGTAGATGGTGGCAAGAACTAGTTCCTAAATGTCTTAATAAATTTTTCCCACAAAATTATGGCATTTGTTATATTCTAAAACTTGTCCCTTTGTTGCCTAACCATCAGCGCTAGGGTTCTCCATATAAAAAGAATATAGCTAATGGATCCTTTTTTTTTGGGCATTAGATGGTATCAAAGAAATTCTCCAACCTCATCAACTAGTCCATAGCTACCTGAGGTGTAACACCTCTAGATTTGTTTTGTCTGAAAAAATCTCAGCTAGCTGCTGCTCATATGCTTGTTGAAGGCGTATTTTGATTTGCTCTGGAGTTTCATGAGGATATTTCCGTTGCAAACCTCGGTGCATCATTTTTAAGGAAAATTCCTCTCGGAGAGGCAAACTTCTAGCCTTGAGTTGATTATTATGAATGACTTTGTCAATATGTTTAATTTTATCTGGGATTAAAATAGCAGACCACCACTTAATGGAGAAATTACGGACAAGACATTTAATATGGATAAAACTATCATAATTGATTTCAATGTTCCATGTCCAGATCCATGGAAGCTGTCCTTGAGCAAAGAAAAAGAATTCGCTCATGCGGGAGACCCTGCAAATATTCACGAGTTAAAAAATCAGGAAGGCTGTTAGTAGAGCCTTTAATATATTATATTTGAAAATCAAATATAGATACATGAGCTTGCCAAGTAGCAAAGATTTGTTTAGATGCTAGATTTTTAACATCCTTTTCTAAAATATATTTTG